TTAGAATGAATCGTTGTATTGTTCGAGGAAAGTTCATAATAAACGGTCGCCTTGAAATCCGTCATAACCTTTGTTTTCGAGAATATCGACCTTCGAAGTAATTGAGCTGGCTCAGTCTTTATAGACCATGATCTCCTTGCGCCTTACATTATTGTAAACAATCCGCTCTTCATCGCATTGCGCTTTAAAAACTGGACGTTTGATAAGCAAATCACAATCGTTAGTGTAAAGTAGAAATTTCATTCATATTCATTAGGAATATTATTTAAGCGTTATGCGTCGTTTGCATGAAGAAATTCGCAAAAAAGGCGCAGAATCATGTGCCAACAATTCTTGGTTTTTTCATCACTATAATACACCGTCTCACACAGCACTCATTCTTCATGAGCATTTCGCTAAAAATTCCACGAATATCGTTCCCCAACCATCCGATTCGCCGGACTTAGCAGCATGTGACTTCTGGCTCTTCCAAAAACTCAAGGGACCACTTGGAGGACACCATTTTGAGTCGATTGACGAGATTAAATGTGAATCGGCGCGCTCTCTGAAGGTCATACCAAAACGTGACTATATGACAAGCTTCGATAATTGGGAAAAGCGTTGGCATAAGTGCATTGCATCGGCAGGGGACTATTTTGATGGCGACGAAATCGATGTAGAAGAATAAATAAAGATTAACAGGTATGACATTTCTTATGCTACTCTCATTTTGACCCGTAATTTGAAGTTAATTGATTGTTACGTCTGACGGTACCTTTAGCAAGGTGTATTTTTTTTCTCGCCTAGCACGTTCCGTCCGCTGTTGGCTCGCACCATTGCTTGCACATTTTATGGGCTTAGAACTTTGACATTTACACTTTTCCTTTGAACTAACGGCATTTCATTCCTACTTTTCTTGTTGAGTTAGCCGTGTATTCAGTATTTCAAAAATAAAACAGCAGTTTTTTTTTTTTGTTAATATTTTTCAATATTAAATTTATTTATACGCATTTTATTCTCTTCAAGTTTTTCACTTTTCAATTCTTTTACGTTATTCATAAATTCTTATGATCTTGAAAATGAACGTAGTAACTAAGAATTCGCTTTTTGGTTTAACTATTTTCGAATAATTAGGTTTTGCTCAACGCATTTCTTTATTTTGAATAAATATTAATTTTTGATTTTTCGTTTCCAGTACTTGTATGTATGTATGCATTAAATGTTTTTATTTTATTTGCATAAAAAACTTAAAAATTTGATTTTTATTTTAACCAAAGGTACAAAATATAATAAAACTAAATGAAGGAAAGTTATTTGCAGCTTGAGAATTAAATAAAGCTAACAAAAAAAAAAAACAAATGTGTTTTTTCATATATATAGATATATATATTTATATATATATATATATATATATATATATGTAGCTCTTTATTTTAGGTTATGACATTTTCCTTCCTACACATAAATAATTTATAAATAATTATAAAGTAAAAAAAAAAAAACAAAACATATATAATGCAGTATAAATTAATTCTGAGCAAGTTTAGTTTATATTTTGTGTGTGTCTATATGTGTTAGAGTCTAAGGAAATTTATCTACAAAGTGTTTTAGTATGCGCTTACTTGTACCGTTAAAATTAATTAGTATAGGGAAAGAGGGAAAGTTTTGAGAAAATATCCTGCGCTGTGTGCTTGAGTAGAAGAAAATTGTGAGAGTAGTTGCTGAATTCTTTAAAGTAGTCTTTAAGAGGGAAATGTAGTAGTTGCTGAATTCTTTAAAGTGGTCTTTAAGAGCGAAATGGTTTACACTGTGCTCGTGAATTGTGTAAGTGTGAAAAGCAGTGGAAAGTAGTACGTATAAGTGGTAGAAGAGTATTTAAGTAGGTGGAAAGAGGTTAATCAATTTTGAATTTGTAAAATATTTATTTATATGTGCAAAATCATGATTGAACATCTCAATTAAACGCAGTGTGTGAAAAAATATTTAGTACCGTTACTTAGTTGGTGTATAGATAATTGTTAGATACATATTTACGTAAGATACATGTTTATACATACATAGTTCATTATATAGTATTTGAGGCAGCAAAATTAATTTACAAATAATGGCTTTTAGAACATGTTCGTTTTGTTTTTTTTTTTTTTTTTTTTTTTTGAATTCTTTAGTTATATTATTTAACTCCTCCTTCCATTCTATTTTATTTATAACCAGTATTTAATTTCAATTAATTTGTTATACACTTAAAATACCACCGTTGCACTTATTTTTGTTTTCCATTCATTTTAATACTCTACATACATATTAATTCTATAAATTTCTAAGCCTTATGCAATTAGTAGTTAACTGAAGTGTGAATTAATATATTTTTTTTTGCATTTCTTACTTTATTTTTCGCTTATTTTTTAGATTTTCATATAGTTTATGTTTATTGGGGTTACACATATGAATTTAAATTATATTCCTATAGCGCTAAAAAAGTGTTAAAACAATATACATGTATACTCGTATATATATATATATATATATATATATATAATGCACTATATTAACAAGAAGGAAATGAGTAAAAAAAATGTATATATAAGTTACAAAACTGAAAATTATAAAAAAAAACCTAAAATATTTAAACTATTTTTTACAATATATGTATGTGTGTATGCATGTAATATAATATAATTCAGTTGTTGGCTATTTTTACTTCGTTTTTTTTTTGTTTGTTTTCTATTTTGTTTTATTACCCGCTTGACATTCAAAGTGTGCATCAGAATTTTTTACAAGGTCGTATATTCTTCCTGTATACACGGCAACTCTTCATCATTTTCTTAGGTTACCCAGTTTTTTCCACGAGTACGCATTTTATTACAGTTTACTCTTGCAGCTTCGTGTGCTATTAAGTTTTCTTCTATATTTGTAATATCTTTTATTATTTACTAATTTAATTTCATTTTGCCGTACGCGCGTCTATACAAATTCATCATTCATTATATGATGGTTTAGCTTAAGTGGAACTTTACGGTTTTTTTTTAGTGGAAATGGAAATTAAATGTATACCGGCTTATTTCATTACTAATATTCCATTTCCCGTTTGGTTAAGTCTTCAATTTTTTGTTTTAATTTTAAATATTCCTCAGGTGTTTTTTGTTGTTTTATTTTTATTTGAAGTCATGAAACAGCGCTTTTTTGTTACTTTAGGATATCGATTAGTTTTGTTAATATATATATATATATGTATATATTTTTTTTTAGAAATAAACAATATATTTATTCTGCTGTAATACATGTATTTATGTGTTTTAATTAATATTCGATCAACATATTGGTTAGATTATTGAAATGGTATGCCATTCGATTGATAGTTAAAAAAAGATAACTCTTCAATTATAATCAAAATGATCTGCTGCAAATAATTTTCGCAGTCAACTTGCATACTCTTTGGCGCAAAAGAATAACTACGCCTGTTTCTAAAATGCCAAACAGTCAATATCATGAGCTCAATCTTATTAGAGTGCGTCCATAAAAAGCGTAGCTAAGCCATGTTCCCGTTGGAGAGGTGAAGCACTAAGCTGCGTAGTTTTCTTCAGATGAAATGAATGTTTTTTGTGATTTATTAAACTGCACAAAACAACATCAAAATATGGAGACGCAATCTATATGATACAATACATCATACTCGAAAAGTATTTAATGCATAATTAAATTATAGTGCATAAATATGTAGTAGAAAACGAAAAGTAGTGTGAAACAAAAGCACATTACATGTGTCAGTTTAGGGAGGGGTGAAAGGATAGGCCGCGTTAGACTACATGAAGAGAGGGATGGCATAAATCATATGACCACGTGGTTTATAGGCAATAGTGTGTGTGACGCCAGTAATACACTAAAGATGTGCTTTAACTGCCCCATCCTGGAATTGTCATATTTTTGCTTGCTTCGCTTGCTAACAAACAAGTTTACAAAGATGCAGCCAAGTGTGTGTATTGAAAAATTATTTCGGTACCAAATTATTTGCAAAACTTTCATCTCTAGGAATTTCGTTATATTTTCCATTTATATATGTAAGTATATAATTTTAGATTTATTTCTTCTAATAGCTCAACTTGTTAGATATATTTTTTTTTGCTTCCAATAAATAATTTTCTTAATTATTCATTTAATTTTTTAATTGTATATAATATTTCGCCTATTATGTCTGCAAAAGTTTAAATTCTTTATTTTTATTTTAATGCAAAATTTTAATTTTCTTTTCTTCGGGTACTTCTTGAAGTTGCTGAACATCTGCTGTAGTTTTAGGAAAACTGGTTCATCAATTAAGTTCTAGCACTAGTTTTCCAATACAGTTTGCTTGCGTTGGTAAATTGCTACTATTTTATTTCTGAGCAAAATTTATTTGCTTTTTTACACACGTTTTGGTATTTATTTTTATTTTTTTCTTTCTCTGTTTGCAAACAATTAAATATGAATTTGTTGAAATTATTTTCTTTGTTTTTTTTTTTTTTGTTTTGTGTTGTTATTTTGGAAGTGTCACTGTGTGCGATTTAGTTGATAAAACATTCGTTTTCAGCGCCTTTACGGATTTTCTATTGTTTCTAATTATTAAATTTTTGTAAATAAATTTCGTTTCGTTATTTCCATGGCGCTATAGTGCAAATTTTAAACGTTTCTTTTGCTTTTTTCTTATAATTCAGTTACTTATATTTGTATACTAATTATTCTGCGTATATCAAAAAGCACATTTAACGCTTTATTAATTATTTTGTGCTCTACCAACTGCTGATTATTCTCAAAGATATTTTTAATTTTTTTTTTTTGAATTAACATGTTTTTTAATCTATTCGTTAGTTTTTCGCATATGTAGTGGCGCTTCATAACTTTACTGTTTTATATATAATATATATATGTAATTTACACATATATATAGATTTAAGTAATCCCCGTAAATTATATTTATATGCCAGCTGTTTATTGTCTCATTTTTTACATATTTGCAACAAAATTTGCATTAAACGATATATATATATATATACATATATATTATACTATTCAGTTGTTTTCTAATTTTTTTAAGGATTTTCCAGAAAAGCATCTCGCAAGCTTACACAGCGTTATGCGTTGTGTGAAATTAACTGTGGCATTGAAAAACTGGTATTTGGTTATATTTCTCCTAATGGGGCGGTTCACAGTGCGTGTGCGATTGATTGGCGATTTTACTGGTTGCTTGTGTTTAGTATTTCGTGCGTGCATTGTGAAGTTAATTTTCTTCTTTACGCACTTCAAATTTCACTAATAATAGCTTGATTCTTGATTTTATATATCTATAAGATATAGTACAATAGTTATACAATATATTTTGTTAATGTTGAATTACTATGTTTAAGTATAAATCCACAACTATTTATGTATATATTATTAAAGAGGAGTATCTGCCAAATTCGTATTTCAATGTTTGTCAACACACCAACAGGCACGCATTAGCTATAAAGAGTGTTCAGCAGTGTGCAGAAATAAAGCTTGCGCTTAAAAGCTTCCAATGGGTGCTTTAAGCTTTCATGCAACGCTCCAAGCTTTCACCCAGGCCTTCAGTCTGTACATGTACAATACAATAAACATCTTAGAGAAACTGGCACATTAGTACTGCATCCTAAAATCCTTCACTAGATAACGGTTGTATATTCCATTAGAGCCTTATCCTTCATTAGTTATCAGTTGTATTTTCTATTCGTGCTCTCATCTATCTAAGTAATTTGGCCATTCTTACCCGAAATTTCGTGAGCCGTTTTGTCAAACTAGATTTTCGTTTAAATACTTTATACGAAAAGATAAAGAATTTTTTAAGTTCCGTTACTTACAAAGCTTTAACTGGCAGTAATTTATTTTCTCTCTCTCTTTTTTAAAGTAGCGCATTTACTCCTCCAGCTCTCTGTAACTACATAGTACATATATTAAATATTACAAATTCAGAGTTTATTTCTTATTTCCCTTCCCCTTTCGGTCTTGCCACCAACTACGCGTGTCGCCTGTTATGGCGTTTTCTTAAACTCATCATACGCTTTCTCTCTTTATTTATTTTAACCTTAGCGAGGCGTATCGATTCGGGTAGCACCACTGCCGTCGATGTGGGCAAATAACCGCTTACAACTGTCAGCCTGCTGTTGCGTGACCCATCTGTTGCCGCACGCTCCGTAGAATGCTGTTCCGCCAGCTCGTCGGATTCGTCCAAAAGATCGGGATAGACGCTAATATTGTCAATGTTGTCGATATCAATGTCGCCAGCATTGTTGCGCACATATGTCAGCTGATGGAAGGGTGTTGCTAGCAATTTCTGCATGGAGATGCGTAGCGACTTTCTTGTGGTTGATGTCGCTGCAGCTTTTGAGGTTGTCACGTCACTGGAAATCGTCGTGGAAGACGGTCTCAACGATGTGGTTGATGTGATAAGTGTTGTTGTTGTAGGTGTATGCGTGTGTGATAAATGATTGCTGTTGCCATCAAATTGGAGCAATTGTGGTTGATTGGGATTTGGTGAAATGGTTTTATTGCCGAGCAATTGTAATAATGGGTAAGGTTGTCCCGCTGTGGTAGTTGTGGTGGACGCGGTAGTTTTATGACTGGTTGCGGTAGTAGCTGGGGAATCAATTGTGTCTTGCCGTTGTCGTTCGTTTACAACGCGAGATGTTGTTGGCATTGTGCTGCTGTATTCCTGAGCCACTGCTGATACCTGCAGCTTGTTGTTGGTATACGCCTTGTGGCCAGGTCGTTGCAGCTTGCCTTCGCCGGAATATTTTTTGTTGTATCCCAAGCTGGATTCGCTTGAGTATAACGCTTGCATTGGTTGGTGTGATACTGTTTCAACATCTTTGTCACTATTGTTGCTGGCGTTGCGGCTGCTATGTCTACGCCTGCTTGTATTCCGATGTTTGTTGTTGTGCTTGAACCAACCGAGATCGGCGCTGAGATTGCCAATCACCTCATCAGCCAAACCTTTGTCCCAAAAGTTTTTACCACTATGATTCATATGTTGCTGCCACCATGTTGCTCGATCACCAATAGCCAAATCTGCTGAAGTATCGGCATCAATTACTGTGGGACGCACTGTAGCAACGACTATTTCGTCTGAGTATTCTTCTTCATGCTTTGGTCGCCAAGCGTACTCGTCATTGGTGGCGCTTGTTGCCATCAATTGATTGTGAAGCAGGGTAGCTATGCTGGCAGCGATTCCCGACTGTGTTCTCCACATGCGGCTTATATTATCAGGCTCGCCGGTGAAATTATTGCCATTTCGTTGCGGGACTATTGTGCTAAGCGTACTTTCAGCATCCACCAATGTTTCGGTGTAGTCGTCGCTCCTACTACTGTTATTACCCATATCGGCTTCACTAGAGGTAGTGTTTATTGGTGCAAACAATTCAATATCATCCCCCGAGGGCTGAGTAACCCCCGTGGCGTTGACGTCCTCTGGAAAAACTAACATTGCTGCAACATTCTCGGTTTCCATTGTTGCTGTTGGAGCCGAAAACATTGCTTCAGCGTCATTTTCGTTTGCTGTTGTAGCTCTCGTCGCTACAGCACTTGGTGACCAACTATAAGGGCCACTTTCCGACCATGTAGTAGATGTCGGCGCCACGAACTCAGCATCTGTTGCTAATGTCCTGCCATCTTGTGTTGTACTGCGTTGTACGGAAGTAATACTGTTTAATTGCAGACCTGCCACTGACGTAGGGTCCGGAAAAATCTCGCTGTCGTCCACCTCGGTTGTTAGTGTTGCATTTAGCGTGTCTTCATCTGCAAACGTTTCGCTTGTGAAGTCTGTGATGTTAGTGTAGTCGCTTGTCGGCGCAACCAGAGTTGAGGTTTCATTAGAATCTGTCGTTGAAGCTGATAAGGGATTTACGGTGTATGTTTGTGTGGGTTTACCCGACGCAGCTGAGGACAGTGTTGATGTGGAGGAGAGCTCCGCTGTGGATTCTTCGAAAGTAGCAACAGAAGATAGCCACTCGCCGCTGTAATCACCATCTGTTGTCGCCGAAGATATGCTACTGGTGGCCTCACCTGATGCTAGCGTTGACAATGAGGATACAGATGGCGCTGGTGAATCGCTCCACAGCCGATCCACAGTGATTTGTGTTGGTGAAACAGCGGCTTGCGTTAGTTGCCGGTCTGTTAGTGGCAACATTTCTTGCTCCAGTTTTTGTAGTTGCGCTAGTTGCTGTTGCTTTCGCTGTTTTCGTCCTTTTCTTCGCCGTCCTTTACGCTTATTGGCGATTGTTGTCGCTTTCATAATTATTGTGGTTGCCGTCGCTGCTTTTGTAGCGAAATCTGCAACGATCGCCGGCTCTGGCATGTGATGTACGTCCTTGCCAGGCTTGTAGCTGCTGGACAATGTTTCACCTCCTGCTGTTGCGCTAAACGTTGCTTGTGTTGCGGTAATCGATGCGAGCTTACTTGCTGCCTTTTCTGTTTCGATTGTTGTTGCTGGACTAGTTGATTTGCCGCTGCGCAATCGCTGCTGCTGCCTCTGATTTTGCCGTCGCTTCTGTTTGTGCTCATGCTGCTGACGACGTGCAATCAAGTTCGGATCGTTGTGATGATGCCGTACCTGATGCTGTTGCTGTTGCTGATGCTGTTGTTGTTGACGCACATGCTCGCGTGTGCGGCTATTACTATTGCTGTTGTGATGCTTTTGCTGACTTAAGCCTACTTGTTCTTGACTATTACTAACTAAATTACTGTTGCTGTGGTTATTGTTGCTGCTATTGCTGCTGTTGCTTAAATTGCTACTATGGCCATTAGTGTACTCTTCATTTTGGTTACTGTTGCTCTTTCTATTAATGTTGTTACTGCTGTTGTTGCTGCTATTACTACGTCCACCATTCACACGCTTATTCTTATTGTTGTTTCGCAACAACTTGTTATTATGACTGCGTTGCGCCACAGCTGTAGCGGTGGCCGTAGCTGTTGTTGCCGCCGCCGATAGTGCGGCACGCTGTGACGACAAACGCGCTGAGGCTCCTGAAGTTGTGTATGTAGTTGTTGCAGTTGTTTGTGGTGATGCTCTGATGCCGCTAATGATTTTGGTGCTCTTCGCTTTCGGTGCAAAATAATCGGTGTGCTGATGGAAAAATTGATCGGCCTGAATTTTCGTAAACAGATAACAGGCATCGTTGACATTTTTCTTTGGCCCGACCGCCTTACCTCGGTGTGTGAAGCCGACACGTCGCTGCAGATCGACTACGGAACGAAACACGAAATAACCGTGTACGATGGTTTCGTTGAAGTAGCAGGTGTCGCGCAGTTCTTTCTGTAAATAAGCGGAAAAAACGAGAGTTGAACGATGCAAAATTGATAATATTTTTTTTTTTTTATATTTTTTTGTACTTCGAAGGCTGCTTTAAATTATGGAAAACACTTTTTAAACAGAAATTCAAATTTGTGAGTTAAGTAAAAATAAACACCCATCTGAGGTTCTCTTTATGAGTTTTTGCTATCTAGTATCTTTTTAAATAAAATTTTATGTTCATTTCAATTGCTTCAAACGCTTCTTTTTTTTTACTGATTTTCAAGTGCAAATCAAAACACTTTCAATGATTGAATTCTGTGTTAAATATCTTGTGATTCTTTGGTTGTTTTTCCCCCTACAATGTTTCGTCCGTCTATATTCTTGTCTAATTATGTTTTATAAGTATATCGCTCTTCACGTCACTACAAGTACGCGCACGCGTAAACGCTTAAGTGTACATTGCAAATTTGGCGAATTCGAACTGGATCTAAAAATAGACACTGTTAACTGAATAGATGTTTCTCAGAAAATAAAATATGGACCATTTTTAACGCTAGGGGATCAACAAAAGTTCGCTCGATTGAAGCTCTGAAACCTTAAGAAATGGGAAAAGTTAGAGTTCTTTTAAGCCCATTTCCAAAAAAAGGGGTCTACAATTCAAGGGATGATATCATTCGGCACTGCCGGTTATGTAGAGAAGGTATTAGAGATAAAGTTTATGAATAAATATAAAAAAAAGGTAATTTTCTTCCTTTCTCATGTACCTAAATTATGCTTTTCTATAGAATTAACGGTTTCTTTTTTAAATATATCTTTCCAATGTATGTGTTCAGCTTTACAACACTTTCTTATGCTGCACTTTTCTGCTTTCCCACCATTTATATGCACTTGCCCTTGTTTACATAACAATTAATGAAAACAGACAACGCAAACTAAATTTAAATAGGAAAAGTCCACAGAGTATTTGTGCGCCTAAAAGACAGCACTGCCTCGGTTGCGCATGCGCAATGCATTCTTCGCGCTTGTCACACGTTCATTTCTCAGCCATTACTTACATGTTCAATCACCCTTGATACACAATTCGAGTTTGCTTCAAATTAAGAACAATACAGTGGCGTAAAAGTAAGACAACATTGACTGCTGTCAAGTGTTGTAAACAATTGTTGGTAATTTATTTTCAACCAAATGCCAAAATAACTGAGAAAAATACAATGAAATGAAATTGTGAATATACATATTTGTGTATGTATGTAGCAACAATTTCTCTATCTGCATTTCTTTTTTTGTTTTTTTTTTTTGGCGGAAATGTACGGAGTTTATGATGTGTTACAATATTTGTATTTTATCGATTTTGCTGTGAATTTCCTGTTTCGCTGTCAAACAATCAAGTCTTAATAAGATAAAACTGTTCAGCAGGGAGAGAAAGAGAGAGGACAGCCTTCTGTGTTAAACTTATTGTCATTTTTTACTAGCTTGATTTCAATCATAGGTAGTGAACTCTCATATCATATACCGATGCTCTTCTCTTGACTTCTTGTTAAATTGAAATATAAGGTTTAAATCTGCCTTAGCAACTACAGCTTTCACCTTTAGACCTCTACGCATCTTTAATGTGACCTCGCTACTGTGTTCTATGTGTTGCGCCCCTAAGCCACGTGGTACGACCCAGAAGATAGAGGTTAGTGAGTGTGGTTTACTTTTTTGCTGCTCACAGTCGGAACTGGAAGGAATGTTATAAAAATAGCTTGTTACCCTCCATCGTAGAATAAAGCAATGAACGTACCCTCCTGCAGGTTAGGAGTTCAAGAATTTACCCGCGGTAAGGCATGCCTGTCGTAAAAGGCAACTAAAATGCAAGCTCCTGCGACAGTCGGATCTTTACACCGGAACGACTCGGATTTTTATCCGGCCAAGGACCGTCACTCCCGCAACATTCCTTAAAAATATTTTTGCGGTTACAACAACAACAACAACAGTAATGAACCTACACACGCACGATTTGGTTCATTTTCAAGAAACAAAATCATTATATTTAGACATATCGTAGAAGCCTGGAAGAAAATTAGTCGCATAGATCACTGGAAACAAACGTACAAACAACCATTTATATATCGATTTTTAAAAAAGGTAAGCATTATTGTTTCAAGATGTTTTCTTAATGAATATTTATATGGATGATTTAGGGATGGCGATGAACTTGCAGAACGTTCGAGAGTTCGTTTAAATAGCTTAGTCGAGTTGGTTTTCAACCCTCTAAAAGATATCTCAAAAATATTTCTTAAAACGTCATATGATATTCTGACATTCTGAAACCAATGTCGCTCTCAAGTAATTTGATCCATCAGACAAAGTCCAAAGTTAATTATAAAAAATGCATAGATAATAAGCTTTGAATTGAAAGTATTTATTATGCATTTGTTTATAAAATTGTACAAACTATGTACTCATTCATGTGTAATCACTACTTTGTTGATTGTTTTGATTCGCTTGAAGTAGTTGTGATTGATACTTAATTGAATTGAGAGTGAATATTTTTTAAAAATATTTATGACTAATCATATTGTTATTTGCAATTGTTCAATATACGAGTATATGTGTGTATTTAGATAAATTGCATAAATCTCCCAATTGTTTACATTCACTTTTTTGTGTTTTCTAACGATTTTTTTCCACCAACAATCGTAGATAAATAGCAACAAGTAAATAAATACGCACAAGTACTGACTTCAGCACTAAATTATATTGTATGGTTGTTTGTGAGAAAAGACTTCTGTTATTGCAGCTGCAAGAAAAAAGAATGTAACCAACCATTTGTTACTTGTTGCAATTTTTCATTAACATTATGAAAATATGTCAGAGTCAATAGCGCTGCCAATAGACTAAAGTGGACCTCGCGAGTTTATCGAGAATTTATTAAACAAGCAACTTGTACGGTTAAGTGCCATTGTTGGCAACAACAAACTCTTTGACAGTGACCTAGTTTGGGAAATGGCGAAAATATATAATTCTAACAATTTATTAAGTATTTTTTATTTTTGGAATCAGGGACGGAATGATCATTAAATAACGGTTATAGTCGTTCAAAATTAAATAAAATCTAAAAAGCTCATAAAATTGAAAAAGCTGACGCAACTGGGTTTTCTTCTTCGGAGGATTTTTTCTATTTCCAATAATTTTTTTTTTTTAATTTTTAAGAAATTATAGAAAGAAGGGTCGCGGCTGGCACGAGTAAATTCCACATGAGCACCAATTTTCGACACTTTTCGTAGCAATTAAGACCTCATGTCTCCAACAACTTGCCGAATATTACCTTCCAAGGCTTTAATCGTCGCCGGTTTATCAGCTTATACAAACGACTACACATAACCCTACAAAAAAATAGTGCAGATGTATTAAACAGCATGATTTTGGGGCGAGATCTTGTTTGCTATAGAGTAGTTTTCCCCATTGACTGTTACATTATGTCAGGCTTCATTTTGGAAAAATTTTATACCAATACTTCTCTCTGCCCATAGAACACACTAAAGCGTGACTTTTTGACCCATTCAACCCACTCATCAAACGCGCGACGCGCTTGATGGTCTTTCGGCTGCAATTTTTGCATGGATTGTATTTTGCAAACCCGCAAACCAAAGTACTTGCGCAAAATTTCAAATAAAGTGGATGGGCATAGCTCCAGTTGCTGCACGCGATGGCGGTTGGACTCATCCTGGTCTGCTTAGATACTCTGCTCTTCGGAGGGAACTGGTGGTCGTCTCCGACGATGCGCATTCTGTTCATTATGAAATGCCAAACTAAACTGAGTATGAATCAAGAATCAGCTGTCGAAAAGACCAACTCCGAAAAAGTATTGTTTCATTGAAAACCACAAATTAAAGACACCTTTTATGTGCGCTCTTAATCTAGCAGCTGTCGTGGTCCTGCTTTTTATACCTCGGTAATGTAGGAATTTCGGCGCCAGGTTGTTTTCTTACAACTTTTTCTAGTTCAGACTTATTTCAGTGAAAACTGGGACTCAAGTCAGCTTAGGCGTTGTTGTAATATACATTTTCTATATTAAATAAATTTAAATTTGAATATTACAACATAAACAATTCAATTTCTGTCGGCTTACGAACAAAGCAAGGCAAAGTCGCATTTCCTTACAAATAGATTAAAGTCATAAAAGATGACAACACAAAGTGAGTGAAAACAAAACAAAGAAAAGCGACCACCAAAGCCGACTATTCAACTACAAAAACACTTACCTAACGACTGTACCGAGTAATGATAATAAAATTAAGGTATGCAAATAAATGCAATAAACTTAAGTCATTAGAAAAATTATTAAAGCAAAAAAAAAAATAAATAAAAAAAAATACAATATTAAATTTGTGTCGCTTATATAAACGTAAATATGTATGTATGTATGTATATGTATTTATTTATCTATCTTGGCCCATGCTTATGAATGAATTTCCAAGTGTTTTTGGGCGCGTCCTGCACTTTTTTTTAGTGGCACACGCACGCCTACACATATTGCTTGGCAAATAAACAATTAAATACTTGACGGCATATAAATACGAGTATGTACACACATATAGACATGTACGCGATGAATACTCGTACATCTTTTATCATACAGCTTTTGAGCTTTTGTACTCCAGTTATTTACATTGTTGTATTGACAATATTTGACACTTTACATGAGCACTAATTGTACGCGTGCGCGCAGTATTTGAGAAGAAAATAAACCACATTATGCAGGTTTATCCATTTCGTGGTTTCAAATGTACAGGGCTGTGGTTTGACACCTATACAACTTAAATGTCAAACCAAACATGTTTTGTTTTAGTTAAAAGTCAGTCATTTATGAAAATAGATCATCTAATGACTGTTAAAACCTACTACACAAATGGTTATTCAAACGTGGCCAACAAGCAAGGGATGGCGATTTTTGGAACAAAAAATGTTCTTCAACCGCGAGGCACATTCCTCACTCAGGGGATGCGTAAATGCGAAAATCCTAAAACAATTGAAGAGAGACCACTGCACCCGGAAATAACTTACTTCTGGTGCTCTCCTTGTTCCGCAGATTTGATTGGATCTTACTTCTTGCAGAGCAACAACGGAAAGATGATAAGATGACAAAATTCAGAGTTTAAAAAAATAAAGGAATTTCATGAAAAAATTAATTTTAGATGCATTTTATTTACGTTTATCTTCGAAGTCCTTAAAATGGATAACCCTGAATGTGCTCAAGTATATTTGAGTGTTTGTCACCGTTTAAAGGTGTGATGTTAAGCAAAGAGACGTGTGTTGCTTTTGAAAATTAACATATGTATTTGTTTGGAATAGAGCGCTTTTCTTTTCGTTGAGTTGCCAACAGCACTGACAGAATGAGCACAGCTCAAAATGCACAAAACATATGCATGATTGGCACTACTGAGTCTGCGCGCAGCTCAAAATTGTTTTTCGCATTCAAATACTTGTTTCAAATTCAATAAAATCTGCGCTTTTGAACTCAAGCCTATTCATAATTTTGTCAATTTATTTGTTATTTAAATATATACGACTTAATACTATTTGATTTGGTCTCACCTAACTTACCAAAATCACCTACACAAAAAGAAAAAAAAAGAGAGAAAGACTTCTGAGCGCTAGCAAGTTGACTCCGTTAATTATTCAACTGTCACTCAGCCACCAATTGTCATTTAGCTATTGTCAACTACCGTTTGTCAGTTGAATATTGTCACAAGAAAATTATCACTTGAAAATTGTCACTTAAATATTATCTATGCCGTGCAATTAGTTAAGGTGAAAAAAGCAAAAATTTTTACTTGTACGGGATTTGCCAGTGTCAACTGGGCAGACGTGTAGGCGTTTGGCTTATTCAACTGCGCTGCCACAAATCCTAATTAATGTACCAGGCGCTCAAATGTACAAAAAGACCGGAGTGTTCATTGGAAAATTTACTTCAATGTTGTTGCAAGTTGACTTATGGGTGCACTTAAGGCGATTATAGTTAATAAAATGAAATTGAATTGGCTTTTAATTTACCATAAGCTTTGGGCGAAAAGGAATTGTTTCTTTGATCATAAAAACCACCCACATATTTTGGTTTGCTGAATTCTGTAATACAAAATTGAGCACAATCCAGATTGCGTGAAGCTACATACATACATACATATGTACATATCTACATATGTAATAGCCAGGAAAACAGACTCGCTTGTTCTACTTATGCAAAATATTTCCTCAAAAAACTAATCATAATTTCATCGAAAAACTTACCATTCCAACTAGTTTCCACTGATCGTTGAAACACACGTAACGTTGTGTTTCTTTTGCGTACAGGGCTATTTTGAGATTGTTGTTCACATAGTCCGGGAGGCCGACTATCGTTATATTTTCTGTAAATAAAGAGATTATTACAATTACAATAGTTAAATATACAAATTTACTTTTTCCAAATATTTTATAGAAACACGTATATAATAATTTCATATCTCCATAGATGTATTTGATATCAATACCAAATAACAGTATAGAGAGTTAAATCATTCAAATAAAACTCTGTCCTCGAGGCAGAGATTGTAAGCGTTACTCATTCACTTTTACAAGGAAATCTATCAGAAATTTTGTACTCAGTCAAACGGCAATCAATGTGTTAATCCAAAGTCGAAGGATGTGAGAGCACGTCACGAGGCCATAAACATACTATCATGGATTAACATACTAAATATCACCTGGATTCCCGGCTATACGAATGTAGAAGGTATTGACAAGGCAGATGAGCTGACTTGTGTTGGCGCTGCTGACATTGCTGTCACCATCGATTGCCTTAGAGCTTTCAGCGGATGCAAAAGTTATTTAAGACAGTGAAATCTAGGGGAAGTTCTAATGCAGCGCAGATTGCAGACAGACCAAACTTCTGTTAGCACTAAGCAAAAATGGAAGCTAGGTAGGGTGCCATCAGCAGAGTGTAGAGCCTGCACAGAACAAAATGAAACGCTGGAGCATTACCTTTGCAAGTGCCCGGCCTATAGCCGATTGAGAAGTGGAATCTTTCACGGTGTTTCGAGTCTGGGTAGACGGAACTGAAAAAAATTTATTAAAGTCATAGATGCAGTCGCCCACGGTAGAGCCATTAATCTCCCGTTAAACTAACCAATTCTTATCTAAAAAGCCGCTCAATACTACCCAAAATGAATCCTACCTATTGATTTTTAGCTAAGATTTTTTAATCTGACATACTGAGTATTCAACGGCCTGTAAGAAGTCTCGGACGATCGGTTTAAGAACATAATTTAAAAATAAATACATTTCGGACAGAAAATTGCAACAGCTTTGCCCTTTTCAGAGCTTCAAATGACACCAACTAGAGCAGCGCATACTAAGAGCCAGCGGCTTATAGACATCAACAAAGGTTTTAGCTGCCACAAAAAGTATAAAAAGGTTACAACACCAAAGTATTCGTAAGTTGGTGAGTGAAACCACTTCACTTTCGAGGAGTTTCTACCTAAAACGTGACGCATCGTCGCCAACAGACGCTTACGAACTACTGTTACCACGGCCAAGACCACAGTGTATTGTAGCTGATGCCAAGAAACCGAGTACCTATTATTGGTAGTGCAAAAAGAGCGAGCAGTCAGTAAGTCAATCAGTATCCAAGCGCGGCAGTCAAGTATAAGCTTGACGCTCAAGTGGAATTTGGACGCCTTGAAAAATGTACAAACGTGCAAAAATAATAATAGCAGCCAGCGCCTTTGCCTTCGCTGTTGCCCACTCTGAAAAGGTATTGCTGTTTTCCAATATACACATATGCACACATGATACATATGTATATTTACGCACACCTCACATCGGCAAGTATGTAGAATAAATTTCTTTTGAAATATGAGCTCACTGATTGTTGGAAAATATGAAATAAAAAGTTTGAGTAGTTAAAGCGATGTGCATAAATTTAATTACCAGCAACGCCACCGCCACCATTACCATCATAACCACCACCATGTTGGATGTACATCGTCAAAGATGTTGGTTTGCGGACAATCGGCCTAGTTACTATAGGCGCCTCCAACGTGTGCCAATCACTTCGCCGTACACGGTGTACGTACAGCAGCCGAGTTTCTGACAGTTGAGGGCCGCAAGCACTCGTCGCATGCCTAGAAGCTCACTGAACTTGCAGCACATCTTGAAAGTTGCTCTTGTTGGGGGCCTCAAGTACTCTCTACATAAACACACATGTGCCTCGTGCAACAATAATTTGCACAGCACACTGTAGCAGCAAAGAATAAATATGAAGGAAGCAGAAGCAGGCAAATCTCAATACAAAATACACAATTTTTAAAAATAAAATAAATAAATTATAAATTGAAATAATAATAGCAAAAGAGTAACCATACAGCGACCGCTCACGGCACACATAAGCGCTTCACTTGGTTACTTTGACTCTGCACTGCTTGAAATGTTGCTTGGCTGTGAATGGATGGTCTGTGTATTGAACCTGGTAGTCACCTATCAATCTATCTCAAGTGTGTGTTTCAAGTGCTTCACTTATTGGAGTGTGTTTGTTGGTCGCTTCGGCTCACTTGTTGGCGGCCGCGTTGTTGAGGTTCTCATGCGTTCTTGTGCCTAGGCTCTTAATGAGTTTTTGCTTCCTATTATACCAATACGTATGCGTATGTAGGTATGTTCGCTTTTGCTTTCGTATGTTGGATCTCATATTTTACGTTTTTTCTCAACATTTATTCTATTAATTTTTTATTTTTTGCGCTTGTCAATGGCATTTATAAGCAAACCAAAACAGTGTGAAGTTCAATACCCCATATATATATAAATATATATATATATTTGGCACTATGTAACCGCTGAAGAGATTTTCGGCCGAGCTCCTCCTCCAATATGTCATTTTTTGATGTTTTCCCTCAAACGGAGGGTCCAACAGTTTATGCAAAGTCGCCTCCGAACGGCTGATGGGTTTTTTATGTCCGAAATACGTACGGAGTAGTTGACATTCCCTGGCGATCGGCGACCGCAATTAGAAAGCTTAGCTTATTTTTTTTATTAATTAACTTCTGGATGTTGATCGCACCAGGATTTGAACCTGAGCCTTCCGAATTTATAGAACACCTTTACCATCACTCTAATCAGTTTGTGAGTACATAAGAACAGTAAATGAATGGTATTATTGCTTATGTACGTCACTGAAAGCATATCAACCACTCGATCAACAACTACAGCCGCCACATCTGATTGAAAACTATTAAGTGTCAAGTCAAAATATGGCTTTGTTTACATAATTTGAACCATAAATGGCCAAAGCCAATTAGTACAGCTCTCACAATGATAATTAAGTATTTTTGATGCTCGTTATTACCAAATAATCTAATCTCTGATCTTAAGATCGCGATACGCAGCTTATTTTAATTGGAATAGAATAATAGTATTTCAGCCACTTCGCCAAGGGTTACACTTATGTGATTTATCTTGAGTTCTTCGCTACAATTTTCAAGTAATAGTTTTTTTCCATTTATGTTTTAGGTTTGTTTATTGAGCTGCTCTAGTTGCGCCAGGTTACTCTATATCAAAAATTGTGTTTCATGAAAACTGTTTTGTTCTTATTTGCTCTACTTTTTGTTTCGCGAGTCTGCTGAAATAATGTAACTTAGAAAGCGAGCTGAAATAGAGTAATTTAGAACGCGATTTTCTGCTCCGACTCTTTAGGTAGAGTAACCTAGAGCAAGCAATAAGATAAGGTACGAGTATGTTCACGGGGCACAGCAAACCACTTAAATACAAGTGATTATAAAAATTAGAAATTTTATATATGTATTGGGTGTATTTAATTTATTTTTTTTTAATTCGTGCGGTTTTTTTCGAAAATTAAGATTTTATTGTGAAAAAATGATTTTAATCGTCTGAAAACAGTTGCAAGATCAACTCCTAATACTTTTGAAAGTTCTTCTTGCGTCTGGCATGCATCTGCGTCGACGATGTTTGCAATCCTTCTTTTGAATTTTTTTTTTGCCTCTCCGGGTCGTTCTCCGTCGTCTAAGTCGAAATTGCCAATTGCTTTTAAGCCGTGCAAACCACTTTTGGCAAGTTCGTTCGTCTAAAGCTTGGTCACCATAAACGTACAGTAAAATACGATGACTTTCGGTAGCACTTTTCTTCATGTTAAAGTAATGAAGAAGAACTCCCTGCAAAAACATTTTGACCTGGTACAATTCTCGACATTTTCAAATGAATGAAATAAATTATTGTTCACGCTCAAAGAAATGACATCTACTGAAAAGGACGCGAAAGGACAGTATCTTTGGAATGAATATAGCCACAGATGAACACGACGCGAAGTAATACTAGTAGAGCCCTCTCTTAGAAAAGCGCAAATATTTCAAAACTATCGTAAAAAAATTTTTCTATTTTGCTTACAACAGAAAAGTCAAACATTCGCATTTGAAAATTGTTGCCCCAAAAATGTTTCATTAGCTATTTACTCCGAGTTTTATTAACCTCCTTAGGCTCGTTTACAATAAATTATCAAATTTTGCTCAACCTTCACCGAGTTAGACATCAAAAACTGACTTAACAGGAATCTATTCCTCTGGGTTTCTCACTACGTTGCTTAATACTATGCCTACAATTTCTTCCTCACCCTTTTCTTTTGCGCTTTAGTTCGCCAACTTCACCCACAATTAAAATTACGTCAATATTTGTTACCAAATTTCTTGTTGACATCCATAAATTTCAGTTTAGTCACTTTAACACATCTAGTTACATTTGTTTTTATAATTTTACACAACTAACTTGTTGTTGTTCAACAGCGTTCAATTAACTGTTTATCACGCGTATAAATATTTTATGTACACGCTTTTAACAAAAAAAAAAAAAAAATAGAAGTAAAAAAAAAAACCCAAAACAACGGTGTTAGTGACAATTTTCGAGCCTGCAGCATCGAAAACGTGTCAGAAATGACTTGATTCATGGTGCAATGCACCCGCAACAACAACAACACCAACAAAAACACTAACACCGTCCAATGCAAGTAAATCAACGTGTTGACGTTTCTGCGTATCACTGAGATACTTTCGGTAAGCATGCGAACTAATTGTGAACATAAAAACATGAATGCATGTCAACTGGCTGCGCTGCATAATCATAAAATGTTGCATGTAAACAAGCGTTAGTGAACACAAACACACACGCACACACACATACGCACTTACACAGTGCAAAGGTAGGGAAAAAAGTTAAAAAAAATATATTTATTAATAAATTAATATAAACTAAACATTATAACGCACGCACGCACGCACGCACGCACGCATGTATGTTTTTTTCAATTAATTCTGAAAAGAGCAAAATGCAAAATGAACGCATTTAAAGTGCGCAAATATAAAATTAAACT